AACAGTGTAGGGATGAACACGACAGTGCAGGTGACCATGAAGGATGGACAATCTTCGGGGATTTTAGATTGGGAACACAACAAAACACTAACACTCAGGGATTTGGGAATAGTCAGACGCCTGCTAATATCGATGATTCGTTTTTAGATCGAATCAATGAATTGTTAAACGAATTCAATCAATGGCACCAGCGTGACCAAGAAGAACAATAACGTCGTCTATCATTTTATTTTTAGATCATATGTTACTAATTTTATGCTTTATTGTAGTCCATGTATGTTGATATACTTATTCCATGATAATTATATGTTTATCCTTTTGTGTGATGTAAATTAAATGCTGAATGGCAGTTCATGCAGGGAAAGAACATATCAATATTCGCATATTCATTCAAAAACATGAAAATTTTTAATGAAGTACCCTCATTTCTTATTGAATTCCTAAAAAACAATATTTATAATGAATTTTAATAATTTTTTCGGATTTTTTTTAAACTTTATTTTGACTGATTCACCCGATTCCCGATCCGGATCGCCCATTTACCGATCCGGATCGGTATTTTGGAAGCCCGATCCGGATCACCGATCCATTTTTTAAACCATTGGTTTATACCCAAAAGTCAGGTTTTTCATAACCCGTTGGATTTCAATAGGACTCGAACTAATTTGGAAACTGTACCTTCTCTGGTCTGAAACTTAATTTTGATGGTGGTAGCTCTTTTGGGAACCCATAATCAGCTGGTTTTGGAGGAATCACTCGATATCGTCTGTATTTTAAAACCTTTTTATTTTAAGATGACCGTGTGGGAATATACAACAATTAATGAGTTAATCTGTGTGGGAATATAACAGTTAATGAGGTTGCTGTATTTTAAACTCTTTAGTGTGGGAATATAAAAGTTGATGAGGCTACCGCATTTTAAACGCATTTCATGACCGTGTGGAAATACAACAGTTAAATCAGTTAAGCGCTTCTCAGGACCGTGTGGGAATACAACAACTAATCAATTAATGAGGTTAGGTTAGGTTCGGATCGGGTCGAATTCTGAAAGGTATAAAAATTTGAATAGATTTCTCGAATGTTATTGACAAAAGAAGAGTTTAAACCGCTTAGGGATAGAATGTTATTGGATGGGCAAGAGGAGAGGAGAGGAGAGGAGAGTTGAAGCAGCTGCTCTGTAAGACTTAAGGTTACATTCGATGAAATTTATTTTGATGTGTTAGCTAAACGAGCACGGTGATCTCTTCTTTCACGTAATTCACTCTGTATTACCCTTTAATGGAATGAAATACATAGTCAACTTTTAAAAAAAAGTTTGTTTAAGCCTAGTAAATAACACTCTTACAACCATACCTTCACATTTGAAATCTGACAAAGAAGAGGCCTCCTTGTATGAAAAAGAAATGATATCTTTATATACTTTTTCATTTATTTAATTCTGTAAAGTTAAAATATGACTAACATTGTAAATTACCCGGCATAAAGTCATCTATGGCGATCCACTTTTACATTTACTCTTTCCCTCTCACGCCACAAAACTGCTCTCCTCCACCGAGAGCGGAGGGCATACGCCTAGTTTTGGCAGGGCTTATATTTTTGAGAATGAGCCCTCCTCAAAAATCAATTCGAAACATGGAAAAGACTCCCGAAATTAGATAGTATAATTTCAATTCATTTGAAATGGTCCCTCACAGATAAAATATTTGATTGGGGGAGAAGTTATTGGATTGGCCTGGGACATAAGAAGGTATCATTTCATTTGAATTGAGCCCTCACAAATTAAATAGAGAGAAGCATTTAGGTTTGGTTTCCGGCACGAGAGTGTTTGTTTTAGGATGGCCTTAGGCTGCTCTCATTCGAAATAAGTCCTCACAAATCAAATACAAAATGAGCAGTCAATTTATGAAATTCACCTTTGGTTTTGAGTGAAAATATTTTCCTGCCATGCGAAAAAAATTCCCTCATGCGGTTAGATTCAAGAGTATTTCACACAAATTGGTCATAATGCATCTTTTCACACCAATTGACAGCTAATTGGTGTGAATATATTCCTAGACTTAACCCTATGAGAGAATATTTTCACGTGAAGATATTTTTTCACGTGTTAGAATAACTTTAATAGGAGGGGGACTTTTTGAAATAACATGCGAGTTGGAGAGAGAGAGAGAGAGAGAGAGAGAGAGCATCATCTATGCGCTTGTAAAATTTCTTCTCTTTCTATTGTTTAAGAGTCCATACAACGAACCAATGTCACAAATAATAAATACCAAACAAATTATCAGGAATAAAACAAAATGAATTAGCAAATGGGGGGTGTTTATATAACGTAAAAAATGCCCCCTACAATGCACATTCTATGCTCTCACAAATATCCAAACTTTCCCTGATCAGTTGTGTGGAATATGACCATAAGTATCACTGCACAATCAATTCCAATCTCCTTGTTAATGGTATTCTAAATAAAGGGCTGAATCAGTAAATTTCCCCTTTCTTCAAGCTCTTATATAAGACTGCAATCGCTTCCCCTCACCAATTAATCTGTAAATACATTTGAATATTTCTTGTGACAAATTTTAGTGATTACTCCTTTAAGAAACTGTTTATTTCGTTTAATTTATTGCAAAATAAGAGAACAAAGACACACAATCCGGTGCTTGTGTAGGTACACAGCGAAAAAATACCTAAAATGTTTGGCTGTGATTCAATAATTGATTTTGATTGGAGCTCTCAACTTGCTCCATGTAATTGTCTATCCCACCACTGGTTGGCCTGCAAAATGAAAAAAGACTAATGGCCATCAATCAGATTTCCTCAAAGTGACGGTCTATGTGTGTGCGCGTGCGGGCGTGCACATGCATGCATAAGTAGAAATGTGTTTTCGCAAGTGGAAACAAAAGAAAACAGAAGACTAAACTAGAATGTGTACCATAAAGTTACCCAAAATTTCATTATACCTAGAGGTTACATGTTACATTGTATCAAATAGGGTTTCCATACAGGAGGAAAACTTAAACCCTATAAGAAATAGGGTGTTTGTAATACTAAACGCATTTGGAACCACTCTTGGAGACGTCACCTGATCTTAAACGGATTGTGTAAATTTTAAAAAACGGGAACCTAAATTACATGCACTTGATTAATTTACGAAACAAAATAAAATACATTTGGTAGGATATTTTTTTTCTATAATAAATGTAATTGCTAGTTAGTGACACCACTAAATGTATACACTTAATGCTAAATTCACAAATTACCAAGTACAGAAAAGAAAAGTTTGTTTGCTTGTTTTGATAGTTCAATGATCAGTAATTACAGTCATATAGATCATGAGAAGAAGCGGATCCAATCTGTTACTGACACCTACCATTATTAGTTTACTCCCTCAAAGACTAGATTTTGCACATAAATTTAGGTATCAAATGGAGGGCCTGGTTTCAAATAAGCCTTTCACCAGTTATTTTACATTGCCAGATGGGAGAGGCACTCTATGTTGCTGGTTAAGAAAGGCAACAACCTCACTAAGTAGTTTTGAAGTTGTGATTGCTTTCATTTAATGCCAGCTTTCCATATCTACAAAACACAATTTATGAAAATGCACCTAAGAGATGAACTATAGGTATATTTTGATAAATGACCCATCTATGCATGTAGATGTGTCTTATAAAAATAGCATGCATCAATACATAAAGAGTTTTATCTGTAAAAAGGATTTTCAAACGTGAGCTATCACAACATAATGCTTGGGATTTGATTCCATAGAACAACAAATGGTCGCAGAAGCAACCTTTCAAGAAGGATGCTACCATCTTTAGTGTTATCCAGAGAATACCACTAGTCCAAGAAGAAACTCCAAATCAATGTGTAGGTCATCAATCATCAACTCATTCCATCAACACAAAAATTAAAACCTCGTGAGATGGAAACCGCTATGGTAAATGAGTTTTCTGCTAAAAATCATACCCAGTGCTTCTGTTCAAAGGCCTAATAGTATGTTCCTAGACCACTACAGCATGGAAAGATGATGCTGTCAGAAAACTGCCTAGACTAAAATCGACTTGATAGCATAGACAGAATCCATAAAGTATTTAGCGGGGAATACTGGAGAGAATATTAGGACATAGCTTACTATATGTGATGATTTATGGTATCCCTTTTTTATTGAGATTGTGAAGATGCAACATGGGTAGGCTACCATCGGGTATACGTTTTTCTGTGGCCTTGCTTAGTTTGCAAAGATCTATGTCTAATCTTTTTTGAGGAAAAAAATAAAAGATATCAAGTTGTATATCTAGATTCAACCAATGGTAGTGTTTATATGCAAATTTGGGAAAACAATCTATGATCTCCCTTCTCAAATTTGTATGCAATGTAAGAAAAACCTTAAAAATTGAAATATTGAAGAAAATTAATATTTTTGTATTATCCTAATAAAACTTAATCAAAATAGACCTAATATGATTAAAAAATGAACTAAAAAACATGAAAGGGGACAAAAATAATATATTTATAAACAATAGAGAAACTTACTAAACTGGACCCAAAGCCTGGCATCCAGGTTCGGCCCTACATCGGACTGATGAAATTTTTGAATCAGTCCTCTCCAATTTGAAAAGAAGCTTCAATATTGATTGATTCTAGAGGAATTTGGTGATTGAGAAGTTGATTATGATTCAAATGTATTAAGGAGCTGGTGGGGGCCAGGTCTAGGGTTTTCTAGGGTATGGGGCTTAATCTGGCAGACCTAAATTAGCGTGTTTTAAGGCCTAGAGTCCAAAGGCATTATTGGAATAGGGGAAAGATTGAGGAATAAGGTTTTCTATGTGAACCTAGGTCGAGCAACCTAGGCAGGTTTTCATGATCAAAACGACCAAATCTCATACCTAGTTTGATTGGAAAGCCTTTAGAAGCCTCTCTCCAAAATTGGAGAGAGATTGGATCTCCCACATGACAGAGGTGCAATGCATGTCTTCACAGGCATGTATAGTGTGTCATGGTCACCTAGTCTATCCAAATTGACTCAGATTTTGGATTTGGACAAATGGTTTATCTCAACAGAAACCAATTTTATAGATTTTGTACAATCTGAAGCTCCCTATTATGAGGTCTTTTTTTCATAGATAGTTCAAACTTACTATTTCAGGGTCCATTCTCTTTGGGAAAGGTCAATGGGCTTCTAAAAGTTGAGGACCAATGATAATCAATATTCTTTTCACATAGCGGTTTGCACGTCTCCAGAGGCATTGTATGTGTCGCTGGGGCATAGAAGGTCGGATTACAGTCAATTTAGACTAATTTGGGTAAGTTTTAAATTGGTTAAGGCAAAAGGTTATTTTCAGGGTTTCTAGGATGCTCAATTTGTGCTCAGGAATTTCTCTAGTGGTTAAAATAGGTTTAGCATGATTAAGGTAAGGTAAGTTCTCGGTTTAGGGTTTGCAAGATCTTTGAAATCCAGCCTGCTAAAATCAGGTATCTACAGGTATATTCATAATGACAAGCACCTCTGCTCAAGGGCTAAAGCTAAATGGAGTTGAACACTATGAGGTGATTAATTATCCATTTCTGCTCCACCTTGATAACATATTTAATTAATCAAAATTCTATCAGTTAATCATCCAAACGTTGGTTTTTTAAAGCAAGACCAGAGGCATTGAGCTAGAATACTTGTTCTTCAACGTTAGGTGCCACTAGGACAGCATCATATTAGCTTGAAAATATTTTAACAAAAGACCTTGTCAAATTCAATACTTGAGCTTCTTTAGAAACTTGATGTGCATCATGCTATATCCTCTCCATGAGAAATAGTGTTCGATATAATACAGATTACCATAGGGAAATCCCAATTTATCCCAGTTAACATCTATGATAATTGTGGGTCGTTTTCCAAACATATGCATAAATAAAAAATGCATGCATACATATATGTGTGCACTTAAGTACATCTAAGCATTGTTTTCAAAGTTAAGCACACAATATGTACAAAACTGCAAATATATATGCAATGCATGCATGCATATATATGTGTAACCATATATTCATACGGAAGCATTGACAAAATGCCAATAGGTGAAGTTCTATAGTACTTTACCTACACCTCATCACCGTTTAAAGTTCATCACACGGTCACAGTTTTCAGTAGTATTTGAATTTTTATAATTTTTGTACTAATCAGATTTATATAAAATTTGGGGTGTGTGTACATATGACCAAGTCTCACCAAAATAAAATATTAAAAAAATAATAGTCATAAAATAAAATGATGAAATTGCCCCTGAAACTTTATAGGGGTATGTTATGTAATTTTTATCACTAAGGCGCACACACCTACAAAATTTCAGATCAGTATGATTTGTACAAAAAAATATTAAAATTCAAACATTATCAGACATCTGTGGTCATGTGCTAAACTTTGAACGGTGATAAAGTTGTAGGTGAAGTCCTGTAGAACTTCACCTATAGGCGTTTTGCAATGTTTTCCTATTCATATATACAAAGATGTAAATATATAAAGACTCATAAACTTACCTACATAGATATCATGCTATAGACTCAACATGTACAAGAGTCAACATCATCATCGGAGCCTTTTCCCAACTATTTGGGGTCAGCAACACGAAACAAATCCCGGTCCACCATTCTACTCTATCACAGGTCATACCCTCAGTGATCCTATAAGTCCCCATATATTTTCTCATTACTTCCAACCATGTCCTTTTAGGCCTACCCCGTACCCTTTTTGAGCCAAATAATGAGAAATTTATCAAAATACTCATTAGATAAACTATTTAGCATTTTATCTTTTTGCAAGTATTTGACTCATGATCGTGTGTCTTTTGATGGGTATTTTGAAATTAACTCAGAAGGTATGAGTAGAGTGTTAAATAGCTCATCTAACAAGGGTATTTCAATAAATTTCCCATAAATAATTTTTAACCGAAGGAACCTATATGACATAATACACATCGTTTCATTCAATAGCCACTGTAAAAAAAATCACATACTGCTTAAAAATTCATTAAAGGGCAGTAACATTAATGCACAGGTATACATGCACATACAAACATGGACAGTCATAAAGCCAATCAAAAAGGAAAGATCTGCAAAAAAGTTGAACAGAAATAGCAGGCACCACAGGAATTATAACATATATGTCAAAGAAATGATCAAGGAAATGCAACTTACAGTCCGCTTAATAATTTGATAGTATCATATAAAAACCACTGTAAAGTGATGACAGGTCCTACAAGTGTGAAACGAATTGGAAGGCTTCTTGTAAACAGGTTGACTAGGCCAATACTTTTCATAGCCTAAAAAATGCAAAGTGTCAAACGCCATATGCTTCTTTTGATCAAAAACAAAAACACAATATGCCTCTTAAAGTTTGATAACAAATGAAATCCTTATCCAGAAACAGATCATCGAACAAATAAGAAGTTATCAATCGACTATAACAATTACTAACCTGCAAAACACTTTCAGCCTTCTTATTATACAGACAAGCAACTATGTTATCCGCAGGGGTTGAAACTATAGTACCAATGGCTCCTGAGGCATAACCTGCTGCAAATGTCACTGCAAGCTGTTGTGCCTTTGAACATTCCTCCCGCCTTCTTTGAACAACATTTTGATATAAAAGGTCCACAGAGTGCTCGAATGTGGAAAACATAAATATAGAAACTGACCAACAAAAAAATTTGAGACCTTCATCAAATAAAAATGAAATCAAATATCTCTTGAAAGAGGAAGAAACGATCTACTTTAAACAAGGAAGAGACAAAAATATGCATTAAAATGTCGGGTGCATGCATCAACTCATTTTGTCAAACAATGTCCCTTATAAGGTGTCCCACCGTGATTAGTCTCTATGATTCCGTTGCTTTATTTCCAAATTGATTTTCTCAGTGCTTTCTTCCACACATTCTGAATCTTCGAATTTGAGACATGGCCCTATTATCCTCTTGCTGACCCATCAAGAATTCAATACATTCTTATTCTTATGTGTTCCTTTCCAGTGCCTTAGTTAACACCTTTGCACAAGTTCATGTTTATAGTGTATGTGATGAATTCTTTCATGCTACTGCATACTTTCTATGCACAGGTTGTTCTTCATTAAACAATATGATCACAAGTTCATAACTTTCTACTTACTCTTTTGGATGCAAACTGAAAATACATTTAATAAGAATGTCTTTTCATGGATAGTTCCTGATAAACATGCATCAATGTGCAAGCTACCCAAGCAAAGAAAAAAATCCAAAATAACACCCTTGACTGACATGAAACAATAAACAACAATCTCATTGAGATAAGTAAATACAAAGTCTTCCTTTTATTTTGGTTACAACTTACAACTAGGTAGCAAAAGAAAAAAAAGTAAGGAAAAAACAATTTTCAAAATGCATACCCCGTACAACACCTGTTAGGAGGTGCAAGTTGGTTCAAGTGGAAGGCTCAAAAAGGGTGAGGAGTAAGCCCAAAATGACATAGTTAGAAGTAATGGAAAAAGATATGGGGACTCATGACCTCACTGAGAGTATGACTCTGCTGATGAATATGATGATGATGATTGTGGAATGTTTACAATTTATCATGTTAATATTCTTATTTTTAGATATTGTTATTGCTATGAATACAAAGAGGGCTAAGCCCTTATCCTCAAATAAAGACATCCAACAGATAATCATCTCAAAGAAGGCAGAGAGAGAAAACAATGAACATGATTCTCGGACAAATAAATCCAACAGATAAACATATCAAAGAGGAGAGAGACAGAGAGAGAGAGAAGGAAAATTACATGGAATGTTTCTTCCCCAAAGTGGAACAAGCCCCTTGTACAAGCTGCCAGAGAAACAAAAGACGTATCTCATCAAATGAAAATTCAATCGCTACAAATCATTTGTGGAACACATAGTGAGAAAAACAATAACATTCTTACCCCGATAACCCTTCCGCTAAATATACTTTCGGAAAACCATCAACTAAACCCTTTGCAAAGTTGGGTTGTGTCTGAACTCTTACTTTTATGGCTTCAAAAGGACAAAGAGCAACATCTGCAATTGCTTGAGCTGAGGCACTGCTTAAGAAGTAGATCAAGGTCCTATGCTTCATACTAGACGGGCCTGCAACATCACAATACAACTTCTTGAAGTATTCATATAGCCCAAATTTGAAGGCTCCTTGTACACCATAACCATAAAATTTCCCAGCCCACCCTTTCCAAAGAACAGAGGGACCCTGCTCTCTCACTAGAGTACTCAAACTAGAGGACATTTTATTATACTTTATGGGATTCACCTGTAAAACATCATAATTTCATCAGTAGTTAGTATTCTAATATGCTATTGAGATGTATTACTTGCTCAGTTTGTCCCAATTTGCATGTAACACAGATTTGGTGTTTTTGATAAGCAAATGTATACAAGAATTAACAAAGAACCAGTTTCACTCATACCAAGAAAGGGCCAAATTTCCATTTTATGATGATTGAAAGGGCCAAAAATTTCCATTTTTTTATGTTAAACAAACCGATTTTTGGAATCATGGGTTGTTTTCGGTTTTGGGTGAGTAAAACTTTAACATTTTCTAGGGGTTTTCTTTCTTAGTTTAAAGAAACAAAGATGGTCTTTTTCTATAAACCATAAAGAGAGAGAAACGATAAGAGCCAACCAATCAACAAATAAGAATAACATATAGTGATATAAATCACCATTCATCATTACATATAGGAAATTTCTTTCTTGGAAAAATGATTAACAAAAAAAGAAAAATAATAAAATGACAAACCCAGGAAAAAGAGATCATCTCCATCTGCACGGTTTCAAGTTCGAAATTTTCAGGAAAACATATTCAGAACGAAACAAAAGAGCCCCTATGTAAAATAAAAGGAGAACTTACCTGCATGTTAACTTTGAGGACATCAAGTGGAGTAATGGCGAGATGGGTTGCTCCAGCACTGAGCATCCCACCAGCTGTGCATACTGAATAGTAATACGCAGGTGACAAAACCCTCAAACCCTCTTTCTCTCTCTCCCCCACGATATAATCATTCACCATCTCTATATATCTATCTATCTATCTCTGCGCAAACTAACTAATCAGGATGAATCCCCATTGTTTCAACCTTTAAGAAACCCCAAAACTCAAGTGTTTGTAAGGGGCGGCAGTCAGATACCCATTTGCTGGGAGACTCACACATGCGTTTTAAACTGCGTCTCTCTCTCTCTCTCTCTCTCTCTCTCTCTCGCGCGCGCTCTTTTTTGGGGGAAGTTTCGTTCACTCTCACATGTGAGTTTCGAACTCTCTCTCAATCTCTCAGAGACCTTTCTAGGGGAAAGATCACAGGTGGGTTTTTGCGGGTCTGAACACAACCATCATATATTCTCTCTCCTCATGAAAAGGTCGGTTTATGTGTTTCTGTGTTTTGAAGTTTCACAGCTCTCTCTCTCTCTAAACTCATGTTGGTGATATGCGTCCACGTTAGCAGGGAATTTTACACGAGGTTTCCGACTTTTCGGGATAAGCGATTTGAAAGAAAGGAATGAAAGTCAGACAAGGAAGAACCCCTCTGGTATTTAGAGAGAGAAAGGAATAAGTCCGAATAGGAAATGTTTCGGGTTATCCCCATTTAGTTTGCACGTCACACCCACATCATAAAACTCTTCATTTTCCTCTTCTGTGAAGAAGATAATGCAATGCCATTTTTTTTTTGGTTATGAACTGTTCTTATTTCCACTTTCATGGAATTTGATCTTAATTCACTTTTAAATGGATCTCTCTCTACATTTGAGTGCGCAAAAAGCTATAAAGAAGGATGCATACGTAGAGAGAAAGGAGAGAGGAGAGAGAGTTGGACACAACGCATGCGTTTGCAACGAAACATGGACCACGGCCGCCCCAAGGAACCTTTGATCTTTGCCTACCTGTTTAAGAGAGACAAAAAAGGCTTTGGCAATATGCCCGCACACCACACTTGTGTCATTGTTTAAGGGTCGGGGGTCATAAGTTGGAGCCACAACCAACTCAGATTGGGATTAGGTCGGGTCCGGGTTCATAAAAAAAGTATAAAAATATTTTTTTTATATTATATTTAATATTATTAATATATATTTGTACTAATATCTGGGTTGCCTTGAACCCACCCGAAAAGATCTTGGACTTGGACTCGGACCCAACTTGGGTTGAATTAAGGTCGAATAGACCCACCCGACATGTCCAGTCCATCTAGGTTCAGATTCTGACTTGTATATGGCCAGGGCGACCCGACCCAACTTCCACCCCAATGCAAGAGAGAGAAATGTGAAGAATCTCAAGTTTCTTTGAAAAGGTTTCTTGTGTCCGTTATTCATATGCATGTTCGGACTTGTCTTTGATAGAGATACCTAAACTACATTTAATCTTATAATAAAGTACATATACTCTATCAACCCTTTCCATAAATTCTGAATGCAATATATACTTTTTATATTAACCCAATGCACAATATACACTTTTCTTTTACACTCCCACCTAAATTCAAGTTACGAGAGAGAGCAGTTGTAGTTTCAATACTAATTGCGG